CCCGTACGAACAATGGCAGCGCTTCAAATCGGCACAAATATTTTGTAGAGTAGAGAGAGATAGCCTATAACCTACAACCTAGTGGACAGTTGATGATAACAATATCTCAAGTCATTTTGGTATACTTAATCAAAAAGTGATATAGCAATCGTTTCGTTTACCAGCTATTTGTAAATATTTTTAAGAGTAACCAAAAATAATAAGAAGTATACCACAAGGCTCCATTCCATTCCGATCTTTTCTAGGACCTGTTTGTTTTATTTATTTACCAAAGATGTCTCTGTCAGCGAATTTAGTACTCCTTGCAAACTTGTATCTGTTTTTTGAATACCGTAATAAAATAGACGATGTTGTTACTAAGATCAGCCTCAAATAAATATTTTTTTAATTTTATTTATAATTTCATTTCTTTGTATTTATTGTACTAAATACTAATTAATAAGTTGAGACACTTTTTTTGTTTCAAAAAGCGTTTTATTGTAATAAATGTTGATTTTAAAACTATTTTTTTTGTGATGAGGACATGTTATTTCAAACAAAAGTTCCTCAACTTTTTTTTGGTGCTTAGAGCATATTTATTTCTGGTATTAATGTTTAACCATGCCTCTTTAGAAGTCTCTGTATTAAGACGCGGACAAACCGACAGACTTTTGAACTTGGCAAAACTATAAGCGTTCCTTCTTGTGTTACGATGGAACCCTGAAAAAACTTGCTACGCTAACCAAGTAAAAAGATGATTTTGATTGTTCGAGTGCATTTTGCTAATGCTTGTGAGTTTTGCTCTTTTTTTAAGGAAACTATCGATATGAAATATCGATATGGTACCATCGCAATTAATTTGTTCGTCTTAGACTCATACCTTTTTCTATATAAAATGTAATAGTGTAGGAGATTTAGATGTATGTGCCATAATGGCTCAGATTTTATTGAGTAGGTGTTCAGTACTATCTATGTAGTGTTTCCTCCCCAGCACCAAAAATAACGGACTTATTTGTTCGTAGCTTTAGGCGCATTACTCGTCCATTGAATTTTGGTTGAATGGTCTAAGACTTTAGCCGTTACATCTTATCAAAGGCTTCCACCATAGATTGTTTCATGGTGATTATTTGCCGTACGCCATTGCATTGGGTTCGCAACTACAGTTATTTTTTTTCTTGGAAAGACGCTGCTGCACATTTCCTGGTTCGTTTCCCTCTGTCACCTCTTATAACACTGACGAGACGGTGTAGTCCATATTATTACTACGCTACTGCACGGTTAAACCACTCAAATCATTAAACGATAAAATTGAACCACCAGGTATATATAATGTACTTTGTGCAATTCACTAGCAGTCACCAGTTAAGCTCCCATTTATGGAGTATGGTACAGTTCTATACTCGTTATCGGTTTTTTCCGCCCGAGTCATCTTCTCGATCCGGGATAACGATCGGAAGTCACCCGAGGCGAGGCGAGGTTGCCAGAAGTGAAGCGAAGTGTCCTGTACACACTCGTCTTTGCCCAAATTCGTTCGACTTTGCGAGTAGTGTACTGCAGGCACTACACTCCATACTCCCATTTAAGCTTCTCAACCATAAATATTACTGTTGTTGTTACGGAACGCCAATTTAAGCAGGTAAATGTCTAAGACCATACAGCCTCTCTTGTTTGTTCCCAAAACTCTAAACAATATTATATTGATGATTTACATTATGTAATCCTTAGGAAATTTTGACAAAACTTTAAGCCGGCGAACAGTTGATTTAGATAATATTTCCGACAGCTTAAAGCATCGATATAAGCAGCATCATCAACCGCCTAAGTGAATAAAACAACTCGAGTCTCATCAACAAAATAATAAGAAGTAACAAAATAATCATCACCATATCCAGATTTGATTTGATTTGATCAGTACCATCGGAGTACTATTTTAACGTTTTGTGCTAAAAGTTTACACGAGCAAACATTTGTCACACTAAATCACGTGATGTTTTTATATTAAAATCTATCCTTTAGTTATACAAGTAATAATTATACATTCGTTTGTAATGGCGTTCTCGATAGCTGAAGCGCGCCTTACGTTAACTAGAAAGTATTTTTCTTATTTAGGCACGTTTGATATTTATTTTTGATTTTGACTGCTTTGTTGGTCTAGTGGTTGTAGTAGAGTGACAGTTGATCATGAGGTTCTGGGTTGGCATCCCGGGTCTGGACAAAAAAAATTCAATTTATTGAGTTTTTTCGTCAAGAAATTCTCAGTAGCTGTCCGGAGTCAGGAAGTTGGTGGTGTTTCACCCCCGTGCCTCGGAAAGCACGTAAAACCGTTGGTCCTGCGCCTGATCTCTCTCTGGTCGTTTCTATTTACCGTCCCATCGGATTATGAGGGTGAGGGAATAGAGAGTGTACCTGTGCTTGGTCATACACTTGGGCACTATAATCCCGTCCTGCGCCGATGGCTAGTCTCCATTGAGGCTGGCCGCCGTGACCGAAATTCGGTCTGGAGGACATTATTACATTATTTATTTTTTATTTTTTATTAAAGTATGGCTTCTCATAAAGCCATACAATTTTCGAAAAAGTGGAGAAAGATCGGCATATTAACAGTTACGACGTAGCCGAGAAACTGTGAATTGATCACAAAATAGTATTTAAGTGGTAAAATTAAAAATGTACAATCAACTTCAACATAAAAAAATAAGAATATAATCAATGTATTCGATGTCAATTAAATACGCATTATTAAAGATAATTCCAAAACTACTGGTCAGATCTTGATTAAATTCATTTGGGACCACACGAGAAGCATCAGCTTACAGATAAAAAAGAATCATCAAAATCGGTTATCCCAGAGAAAAGTTTTGACATAACACGGATAAAAAAGAGGAAAGGCTCACGCGACATCGGTCGTATGCTAGCGTACCAGAACCGCTAGATAAACATCAGGGATTGGCTCCTACTCAAGGCCGATGAGCAGACACCCGTCAGTCTGCTGCTGTTCCTTGTTGTGTCGGTGCTGGGGGATCAGAATGCCGGACACTGTCTGTTGTGTGTGTGTGTGTGTGTGTGTGTGTGTGTGTGTGTGTGTGTGTATGTGTGCGTGTACGTGTGTGTTTGTGTTGGCAGAAGGTGTTACAATGCTGGATGGTATTAGTTTTTTTAAATCAATTTACAACATTAAAAAGTTCTGATCTTAAAATATATTACAGCAGTAAAACGTAATGTTTATTGCAAAATAAATTTTATTGACAATTTAAAATGCTTTTTCCTCAGTCGTTGCTGATATTTTGTAAGTCTTATTTCGAGGTTTTACATAAAGTGAACTATTTATTACCGAACCGTATTAAAGTTCACCGCTGAACATAGGCCTCCCCCATAGATTGCCTCATAGTGGAGATATTTGCCATAAAAGTCACGCTTGTCAAGGGGGTTGACAATCGCAGTTTTTTATTTTTAGTCGTTATTATAAAAACGCTGCTTACCATCTCCAGATTTGTTTCCCCTGTCGCCTCTAACAACATTCACGGGATTTTATGGGGTAGTAGATATTCTTACACCGCAACTACTATATATAATTTTTTGCATTATATGATGTCGACTGTTAATGCATTGTTCGTCTCAAATTGTTTATGAGTCTTCCAAATTGCTTATCAGCCTGCTGTTGCAGCAGTAACTGCTCTAACTCTCGCTCTCGCTAACCCATCAGTTCTCGGCATGTCCCATCAAGTTTCGTTCTTTTGAGTTAATTAGTTTGCCAATTACTACATAGTTTAGCCCTATTTGTATGACAATACCAATAACATTGGTTCTACTACGGATATCCATGATATGGATTCTGTCGTTAATAATGAAACTCGCGGCGATCTTTATTTTATAGATCATCACTAACATCACACTCTGTTGGTGCACTTTTGTGTACAATTCCAGTAACTTTCAGTCTTCCAGTCACGAGCCCTGAATCCGTGGAAATTGAAAAATTCCTCTGATGAAATGACTATTGAATTGACTGCCTCGTTTGTCAAGTTGTGGTTAGCGAGACCGCTGAACATGAGGTCACGTCATCAATCCCGTTACGTGGATCCCGTTCACAAAAAAATCTCTTTTTGTGTTACCCTGTCAAGTAGTTGCCAGTAGCAACCCGAAGTTAGAAGTTAGCGGTATTTCGCCTCTGGGCCTCGCCTCGGCAATCGCGCAAGGCCAATGGTGCTGTGTCCGATCCCTCTCTGGTCTTGTCAAATTACCGTCACATCGGACTATAACACTGAGGGAATAGAGAGTGCACCTGTGCCTACACATACACTCCTGCACTAAAATCCTGTCCAACGTCGATGGCTAGTCTCCGTTGAGACTGGCCGCCGTAACCGACATTCTATCTAGAGGCCATTATCGTTGTTTTTAATGGATGGAATGAATAATAAAAGTTCTAAGAACCAAATTATCTAAAGTAATAATTTTCAGGTTATACTACAATCGTCCACAGTGTTAAATTTAAAATAGATGGCATCATCGATTTAGGTAACAAATGGGATTATAAACATCGGATTGCAGAAGCAAATATTGAAAAATTTAGTGTGGCATTAAAAACAAATCTATCAAACTTCCACCCAGACAGGTTAGTTACAACAGTATCACTAAGAAAAGAAACAATACTAGTCCAAAAACGTAATAAAACCAAGAAAATACATGAATACACTGTAGACAATAGCGACAAAACTGGCACTAAATTACGTTCTATGAGCTTTAACTATGTTCAAAAAAACGAAGAAAGAAATCGTGAAAATTCTGAACAAAAACATTTAAATAACGATAACCACTTCCTACCTGAAAACCAGAGCAGTGCAAAAATAAATACATCATTAATAACCGAAAGTAATACTGATATAATAAAAGAGAAATCTCATAAGGTCCATCATTTAAAAAATAGGTTTCCTAGGCATCGAGCTGTGTTTCATAAACCACACAAAGTAAAAGATAATGAATATATTCAGCAATTCATTACTTACATTATTAATCAGGCTATGAAAATGCTGGATGATTTGCAGGAACATCATAAAGATAAAATTAATGGACATGACTTTCACAAACTAAAACAAAGTTACAAGGATAAAATTACCGAATTTATCATTAAAATAGAAGATCAGACTGTCAAAACTAAATTAGGTGTGCAAAAAGCTATTGTAAACGTATTCGATATATCTAACATAATCATTAGAAAATTGCTAAGTCATTTAAATATTGGTCCAATAGATGATGCTCTTCAAAATCACAATACATCAAATAATATTTTACAAAAAGAATTTGAAGAAGAATTAATCTTCGAATATATTTATGTATGCACAGAATATGATATATGTAGATCTAGGGAAAGTTTTAGCGATTTTTTAGTAGAATTTTTGAAGATTATTTTAAAAACTGACAATCGCAAAGTAAAACAAGCCTCAGATGCCTTAACAGAAGTGCTCAAAGATGTCGATTTCGCAAAAATAATGGACTGGGAGTCATACAAAATATTTAAAGTTTTAATTGCTAAAATGGAATTCATGGATGAATTAGGCACAAGAGCCATTTTAACTATTTTAAAAAGCATAATTGCAAATCGTAACCAACCAATTATTTTATATGGCACAGAAGATCAGGCATTAGTTAACAAAACTGTAATATTTCATGACATTTTAAATGATTTTGATAAAGCACTCCCGGGAAATAACGAAAACACTGGAGAGTGGGATCATTTGACAAAAAGCTTGTCTAGTTGGGTGATTGGAAAAAATAATAACATTTTAAATATTACTAAAAATCTATTTAAAAATATTGAAAAGGGTATTGATAAAATGATGGAAGAAGAAGCTGAAACAATGAGAAAAAATATACGATTAATATTAATTAATGATTAATTTCTTGGTTTTCATTTATATCACCTTTTTATCATTTCGATCCAATATTAAAAAATATTAATATTATGAAATAACTTAAAATTTTTCTCCGTAATTCTAGTTTTTACTTTTTACCTATAACACATAATCGTGATTGTAGTCATTTTGTATAATCATATGTCAGCAGTTTAATGGATGTAGATGTCTTAGGACTCTATTACATGGTAATAATTCAAGGAGTTCTTTGTTGAGTAGTGGACTTGTGAAGAATTGTGAGATGATGGTACAGTTCATAGATATACATACGCCTCTCAAGTTTGGAGATATAAAATTCAAGTGTTAACTATTATTTATATATTAGGAGCAAGCATGTTTAGCAGTTGACTTTCGCGGTCTGATAATGATGGTGATGATTATTATATTATGTATTATAAATATAACAACGTTCTTCAGACCAAACTTAGGTCAAGACGACTACTCTTAATGCAGACTAGCCATCTGCGCATTACTGGATTATATTAAACGAATGTGTGTGCAAACAGTAGACAGTAGTGCGGTAGACCAACAAGGCAATAATTTTAATTTATATTTATATAGTATTCGTACAGTGTCGATCATTAATGAAATTGTAAAAATGAATAATCACGATAATGCTCGTACTTCACAATCATAAAACTTCTTCTACTTCAACTTCACCTTCTACGTTCGGAGGAGACACGTATGAATCACAAAATGCACTTTCTGTAAACGATAAAAAATTAAAAAATGTGGTGGATGCACTGACCTCTACATATACACTTGTATATTATATAGAGGTCAGTGGGTGGATGCAAATTATACATCAAAACAATATAGTTTCTTAAATAATATTGTAGTCTTTGTAATATAGTCTGTTATAGACACGTGTCAATCATGAATGATTTCCGTTTGAACTGGTACACTTAAAAGTATTCACAGTCACAAACTTCACTTTCTGTAAATGATAAAAAATTAAAAAATATGGTGGATGCACCGACCTCTACATATACACTTGTATATTATATAGAGGTCAGTGGGTGGATGCAAATTATACATCAAAACAATATAGTTCCTTAAATAATATTGTAGTCTTTGTAATGTTACGAGCTTGAGGTTCGTGACAATAAAAATTGCCGAGTTAGTTCGAGTTTTAAACTTCAAGAAGTTTAGTTCTTTGGTTCGAGACTAGATGGCGCTAGTGCGCCGATTTTAGCGCGTAACAGTAATATAGTCTGTTATAGACACGTGTCAATCATGAATGATTCATTCATTTGAACTGGTACACTTAAAAGTATTGATGGTTCATTCATTTGTTTTTGAATGTTCCGGTACAACCAATCACAAACAATTGACGGAACCTTTTTAACTCGTGATTGGTGTGAATGATCTGAATGAATTGTTGGTGTGAGTCGAAAACCGACCGAATCCCGAATGATCTGAATGAATTGTTTTTAGTTTAGGGTACTAGAGCCCGAAATGATTCATTTGAATGATCGATCCGAATGTACCAGTAGAGGTGATGAAATGTAACAGAATGATTGGGTCACGAGAAATGAATGATTGACACATCGCTGCTTAAATTCAAAACCACCATAAATAAATAAAAATCCTTTTTATTGCATAAATCGTCTTACCATCTACCATTATTATACCTAAATTGAAGACACCCGTTAATTTCGGACTTAAAATACCAAAAAGTAACAAAACTTTTGTTTTGAATTTTTACCTTTTGCGATTAAGTTGAAGTCAAAACAACCATATTGTCAGTTGCTATCAGGTTACCAATGTGAATCCACGTTTTCTTGGAACCAAACTACCACAAGTCAGAAAAACATGTAAATTTGATTAATATTTTATAGTCAAAAGAATCATATTATTGAACGTGGCAGTTTTGAATTTAAAATTCAAAAGTACACAATTTTATTTTAATGATAAAAGAGCCACATTTTGTTTTCATATTAATTAAAAATTAATACAAATATTTAATTAATATGAAAACAAAACTGCTGTATATTAGATAGAAAATAAATTAAATATTATGCTAAAAAGTAACAACAGCTACTACAAATTCTATGCTAACCATTGTGATACATGTTATATATATATATATATATATATATATATATATATATATATATATATATATTATACGAAACACAACATGATTCTATTCCTTCGCGCTTGTATATTGTGAGAGTGTCCAAACTAGATCGAGCCGACCGATTCGTGCTGCAGCAGTAATGTAGCTGCAGCTTAACTATACCTCGTAAAAAGATAATCATTGATAATATATTACATCTATACATAATATATATGTACATAAGATAATATATTGAATCATGTGTGAATATTGTCGTCCACAAGCCTGCGAATAAAATATTAATATCTCGTGATTGAAGTCACGTCGTAATTCTATCAAACACGATATATACTCGTATTATTGCAGTGGACTACAGTCGTCTTTGCGTCAGTTATCTCATTGGATTTATTGCTGTTGTGTTTCTAGAACATATTCTATTGCTTGCTGCAAAGGAAATATTATTTTTATATATGTGGAAAGAAAGAAAGAACAATTCATATGAAACACAATTTTAACACAAAGACATATACAAAAGAGGCAAAAATCCTAAGATTGAGGCGGGCATATTTTTTTAATTCTTATTTGTTAATGCGTAAAAATTAACACTTGTTTCCATATAGGTTACAGAATAATGCTGCGAAGACAGCGTTGAATTTCAGTTGCAGCCCTGTGACTTCTCTCACAAGTCGGTGTGAGATCTTCTTCCGCCCACACAGTAATTAATTACAGTTAAAGAGCAGTGCTGACGTACAGAGATAATATACATATACACTGCAACTAACCTAGCCAATAGATGTATAATATATAATGTATGTGAATTTTATTGCGTTTAACTTTCCGAGTAACTCCCTTCTTATTTTAATTAATTTCCAAACTTGAGGTGCGTCACAGCAACCATAAACACTCTTAAAAGTTTAATTTAATGTATATTATGTATGTAAATATATAAAAATCGTATGAAACTTAAACTAAACAACTAAACGCTACCCGTATTTTCATAGTACGTGGAAAACCCGGATTTGATCTAAACCGGCACCAATGAAATTGTTAATTGCAAATTTCAGTGCTGATTAACCACGTAATCGTCATTGAAACATCGTGATCTTCAGGTTCCCCCTTTATTTATCTACATCCATCCTCGATTATTATTATCTGGGGGCACGGTAGTGCCCCCGCCAAGTCAGCAACTAAAAAGAAGCACGGTCGTATCATTATTTTCTCGAAGCAATTCAGGCCATTTTCGACCCTTTATAACTTCGTTGTAGATAAAACTGGATATTTTAATTTTCAGTAACCAAGCAGGAATGGTATAAACATAATATATTTGAAATTTCGTTCAATTTGAACCAGTAGTTTAAGAGTATATAAAAGAGGTAACTAGTCAAAGTTTCTTAGTTTTGTCAGATCAGCAAACTATAAAGGTTTTCGATCAACGTATTGTTGATAAAAGTCTGGCACTTCTAGCAGACATAGAAGCTTCAAATTTAGAATATAGGTAGTGTTTAGTGTATAAATCAAGGAAAAACTAAAATCTTTTGTAATTTCGGTGCAGTTTTCTGGACACTAACACATACTACATAAATAACTTTGTATTCCTATGTAAATATATAGGATTACAAAGTTAAACTTGCAGTGAATGAATCAGAGTATCTATACAGATACAAACATATATATAACGGAATAATAGGTGTAGATAGGTACTTTGTTGGTATTCAAGAAGTAGAAGGTAACCAGAAAAGAAAAAAGTAAGACAAGACTATCCACAAAAAGAAATGGGACGCCATAAAAAAAACAACTTTAAAAAAACCGAGTCTCGCATATCAGTTCTTTTACCGTAAAAAGTTGTGAGATCCATGTAATACCAAGTCGGTTAATTTATTCAGTCCCTACTTAAGACACCTTCTGTCTTAAGTTATTATGTACTTAGCTAACCTAACAATATCTTATAGAAACCATATCAATATTAAAATAGCATTGCTTTGTCACCACTGAGGACTAAAATGGAATGCCTCGTATTCAGTAAAAGGAGTCTCCGGCTCTCAACAATCACCATATATGAATAACAGCGGTATGAATCTGCTATTTTACGCTAGTGTTTTGTGAGATGTGGTCCCTCTGTCGTCTTTTGCGATACGTTCGGAACCATAAGGGGTAGTGGATATTATTAAACCGATTGGGGCAGAGTGGCGAGAGAGATTTTATTTTCTATGAAAAAAAAGGAGCGGTTTACTGCTCCTTAATCTTCTTACAAAATAAAGGAAGTCTCATCTTTCACCTGAATAGAAAATCTTTCATCGACGTTGAGTGTATCTGTGCACTACAGAAAGGATTTGAGTTCGCTCCTAGTTTTCACATAACCTGTGTCTTCAACCGAGCATTACACATGTTGAATGTAGCAAACTAATGTTATGCTCCGGCTACACGCTCCGTCTTGCCTGTGAGCATGCCTGCACAAATCGGTTTGCACAGTTAAGCGCGTGCGTGTGGACGGTAAGACGGTGGCTCGCGCAGGCGACCTGCGTAATCGTTGACGTGCTGAAGATTGGATTGGATAGCGGCCTAGCGGCCAGGGAGGCGCCCCCCTGTTCTTATTGTCGAGCATCCGATCACCGGGTGACGTTGTGCCCGAAGTTATTGGGTAAGCCGGTCCCGGCGAGGCGAACCATCGCCAAGGAGCGCCGCTGGTGCTACTCGTGCTTGGAAAGGTACCTCCAACGAGACTGCCCGCACCAGCGGCCCTGTCCGTACTGCCAGGGCAACCACCATGCCGTTTTGTGCCTTGGTGCGAACGGCGCTTCCTTTCGGAGCTCTGCCGGGCCCTCAACTCCCACGGGCGGGGGCGCTCAGCCACTCCCTCTATCGGGTGTCGCTCGGCGCTCCCCTGCCGGTCACCGTGCCCTGGGTTTGAAGGGGGTCCTTCCCT